TCTCGGGAACACAAAACCTCCCTTCGGGACTTGAAGGTGAATAACCGGGGCTTTGGGAGGGTCTCGGGGGCTTAAACACAGAGTTTCGGTGCAAGAAAGAGAAGAATGGAGCACCTAAACCCGGCACCCCAAGAGTTGTATTTATAGGGGCATTTCTGGTGTGCCACATCGTGGCAAGTGATGGCCACATCGTGGGGAGTCAAACTTATCCTCTTCCATTGATTGGACGCCCTCAGTCACTTGCCGGGTCGCGGCAAGCTTGTGCCACGTCGTGGCAAGCCTGACAGCCTCGGATTTTGGACCCCGAACTTGTAAAATCCATAACTTTCGCGTACGACCTCCATTTTTGACGTTCTTTATATGCACACGTAGCTAAAAACATGATATACAACTCTCATTTAGACTTCATTGGCTAATTTTGACTTTATTTTTATTTATTTATTTTTAATGGGCCGGGACACGAAAATTCCGTTAAAAATCCATAACTTCTTCATCCGAAGTCCGTTTTCGTCATACTTTTCGCCGTTGCGCTACTAATGTTGAGACCTTAGATTCTCATTTAGGTTGTTTTGGTAAAAAGTATCTCGAGCTCTATTTCGAGTTTTTAGCTGTCTACTGCTATACCTGAATCTTGGAAAAATCATAACTTTCTCATACGAAGTCAGATTTGGACGTTCTTTTTATGTACGCTCACGGTTTGAGGTTATCTATAACTTTCATTTAGATACTTAAGGCGAAAAACTATTGTATTGAAACTTCGCGTTTTTCGTTTAATCGGTGTTGCCGGTTTTGCCGAGAATCTTCGGTTGGTCATAACTTCTTCGTTATAACTCGGATTTTAGGGTTCTTTATATGTACGAAAACCTTGATACGATTCCTACTACTTTATTTAACCCAAATAAGATTTTAGGAAAGTTATATTTTGACTTAAATTTGATTGGTTTTACATTACATTGTCTCGAAATATCGGGTTGTCACAGATATGACCTCAGAAGGTCAGATGAGGTTTGTCATGGGAGCAACTCGCCGAGTCCATAGGCAGAGTCGACGAGTCGAGTCAGGGTTGCCCAGCGATTCGTTGCCGAGTAACTCGACAAGTGGAGAGGGAACTCGTCTTGTCTAAGAGATTTAAAAAGGATTTAGAGAACCCGCATGGACTCGCCGAGTCACTCTTGTGTACTCGTCGAGTCTGGTCAGTGTTGACCGTTGACTTGAGTTGTCTTATGTTGACTTTGGGAGTTTTGGTCAATAAAGGTAATAGAGGTCAGGGAAGGGTAAAATGGTCTTTTACCCATTACCTAACTAGAGAGGGAAAGAGTAATCGCCGGTTAATTAGAGTTAGGACTTCGAGTATTAATTAGAGATATTTGCCTTATGTGTTAGGCAGTGGCGAGTCCGAGGTTCGCATGTGCAAATAATTGCTTTCTGATTGCCAGGTGAGTCTTCTCACTATACTTTACCTTGAGTAGGTAACTAGAGTATTTGTATGATATGTATGTTATGCGTTGTACTGCATTATTTCTATGTGATTTATGTTGTGCATATTTGCCTTATGTGTTAGGCAGTGGCGAGTCCGAGGTTCGCATGTGCAAATAATTGCTTTCTGATTGCCAGGTGAGTCTTCTCACTATACTTTACCTTGAGTAGGTAACTAGAGTATTTGTATGATATGTATGTTATGCGTTGTACTGCATTATTTCTATGTGATTTATGTTGTGCATGTTTACAGAGTTAGAACCGGAAGGTTCCCAGAGTTAGAACCAGAAGGTTCACAGAGTAGGGTCCACGGACCCATAGAGTTATAGCCTCGAGTGGATAATATGTGTTATGTGTGGTATTTTGGGGAACTCACTAAGCTTCGTGCTTATAGTGTTTTGTGTTATGTGTTTCAGGTTTCTCTTAGGATCACGGGCCGGCACCGGCTCGATTGTACACACCAGAGAAAGAGTCATGTTTTGATGATCCTGGTTTATTATGTAAGTGAAAATGGAGTTATGTTTTGTAATTCGATTACGATTGAGATTTTAAGAAAAGTGTTTTGTAAGGTCAAACCTTATAATATGATGATGTTTGAAACTGATCACTCAGCATCAGCATATATTTCAGCATCAGCATTAGCGTCATCGTATAAACTGTTCAGTATATGTAATTTCTTTTATGTAACAGATTTAGTATTTATCTTGTTTCCATAGTTATCGTATATCAGTTAGCTGGAACATCCTTGATTTGTAGGGATTGTCTATAATAGTTCTATATAGTCTTTTGTACAGGTTTGTGAAGAGGTTGTCTTTCACAAACCCTAATAGCCGCTTTGTGCGAACAATAATCTCTTTGTGAGATTATCATTCTTAGTGAAAGCGCTTTGTGATATTTCGTTGTTATGTTCTTATTATTAGTCATTGTTTGATAAATCGATTGATCTAAGGTCCTTTCAATAGGTATCAGAGCAGGTTTCTTTTATGAAACAAATGGCTTCATCCTCTTCTTCTTCAAACTCATCAAATCATCCTTCTGCTAAAATTCCTCCGTTTGATGAAACAAATTTTGCTATGTGGAAAATAAAGGCTCTCTATGCATTAGAGTCAGTAGATGAAGACATGTTGGACATCATCGAAAAGGGTCCATATGTTCCGATGTATCAGCCCCTGAAAAATAACATTCCTGATGGTGCCATGAAGAAAACACCTAGAGCAAACTGGACGGCAGATGACAAAAGAAAGAATGGTCTAGATGTTCGTGCTCGGGCTGCAATCAGCTATGCTTTGCCATACAATATCTTTGGGCTGGTTCAGAATTGCATCTCAGCAAAAGAGATGATGCATACGTTAACTGTATCTTTTGAAGGCACTGAAGGTATGAACACTTTTTTGCAAAGAAATGATCTAAACAGAAGGTATGAACACTTTTTTGCAAAGAAAGGTGAAACCCTGACTCAAACCTTTAACATGTTTAATCCTCTTGTTAATGATCTGCGGAGACTAGATCAGTTGAAGCATCGAACTGTTCTAGTGCAGAAGTTTTTGGATTCTCTGGGTGCAGGTCGGGAGAACCATGTTGATGTGCTGAAAAATAGTGAGAAGATCAAAACTATGGACTTACAAAGTCTCTATGGAAACCTACGATACTATAAGGAATCCAAGCTTCAGAGAAAGGAGCTGATGAAGGATTCTCAGTGTGAGTCATTAGTAGCATTATTCTCAAACAAAAAGCAAGTGTCAGAGTCAGACACTGAAAACCATTCAGACACTGATTCTTCTAAAAGTGACACTGATGAACTCAAAAAGGTTGTGGCTAGTGCGGCTTTGATTGTGAAGACTTTTGAGAAATCAGGTCGAAATTTCTCAAAGTTTCAGAAGAAGATGAGTGGGAAATCTTCAAAAAGATCAGACGTTGATAAAAAGCATGGTACTAAAAGGAAAGGGAAAGCTCAGTGCTTTAACTATGGGAGCACTGATCATTTTGCAAAAGAATGCAAACAATGAACCCAAAGCTCGGATGAATACTGGAAGCAAAAGTACAACAAGCTGGTTGAGAAACTGAAAGCAGAGAACTTGGAACATAAAGTTCTTGTCGCTGAAGAAGAAAAATGGAAGACTGATGAGGAGTCATCATATGATGAAGTTAAGTGTCTGATGGTCAAGATAGAAGACACTGATGAATGTAAAGTCAGCAACAGTTCATTTGATGCTGATATGTCTGATGTAGTGGAAAACTCCAGGAAGCACAATCCATTTCCAGGCCTTCATCAAATTATAATAATAGGATGCAACAAGCAATTGGACCTCAAAAAGGTATCAAGACACTGATACCTTAACTTTTAAATGAATGCTTTTATTAGAAGTGAAACAGTATAACTTAATGATAAACTTGTTTGTGATTTCCTACGGTTGGTCCTAGCATGGAATGGAAACCGAAACCAATTTCTCAAAGTCAAAGGTCAATTAAGGTGCCTGTGGTTGTGGTTCCAGTTGAAGCTCATACTCCAACAACAGTTTCTTTTGCATCCTCCACTAATCTTGATTCATAGGAGGATGAACTTGAGAAGAAGCTGAAGGAGTCCTACATTTCAGATGATAAACATGTCATTATCACAAATCACCTTCATGTTCCTGAAGCCGAAAAACTCGGCTTCTGTTTTGGGAGTTTTGATGCCATTTTTGGTTTTAATAAAACCCCCTCAAACTCAAATGGTCTTGTGGCTGTGACCATGAGTGAAAAGACGTCTGAAGCATCTGAGGAGGCTGATGAAACTATAGAGGATCAAATGCAATCCAGGTTTCTGTTACTTAGGTTGTATTTCATATTGGAGTAGACAACATTTTCTGATAAATGTATGCACTTTAGTGGTTCAGAAATGAAAATGCTGATGGAGAGGAGGATCATCTTGAACAACCTACCACATCTTCATCTAATGTACCCAAGAATTTACCAACAGAAGGTGACATGTCATGGAATGCAGGACCCGAGTGCAGAGAGTCGAAGCAAGAGACTTCTTCTTCTTCTTCTTCTTCTTCTTCTTCTTCACTCCCTACTCCAAGTCATCAATACCCAGCTGTTCATACATCACCAAATCCAAACTTCAGTTTTGGGTTCATGCCACCAATGATTGGAAGCCAAGTTACATCTTTTGAAAACACCAAGTCTCAGGCACATGATGCTTCTCATGTCCCAAGCTTTGTAGTAAGACCCTACCACCCTTATTTATTTATTTATTTATTTATTTATAATCCATCAATCAATTAATTAAAAAAGAAAATGATTTTTTTGAGAAAATTATTTACAGGTTCAGCAACCGTTTGATCCAGCAAGCTATTATGCTCACCTTTATCGTGAGAGTGATGGGCGCATGTCACCTTTCCACTCAACCACAAATTACAATTGAAATGTTCAACAACCTTCTCACTCTTCTCAAGAGGTTTGTTTCTTTAATGCCAACAAATTTAACCATATATATGCCTCTATTTACTAATTAATTGAAACCACAGGTCGAGAACTCACTAATGCTATCCACCACCAGTCCAACACCAACAACTGCCACACAAACCGCCGAAGTCATGCAAAGCTCCATATCCGTCACTCAACAACCATTACCTGTTTTCCGGCAGCCACCAAGGGTTCATCTACCACATTACCCTCCAAATTACATCCCATACGGTCCATATTTCTCCCCATTTTATGTCCCTCTACCACCTGCTATCCATCAGTTTTTAAGCAACGAGACATTCCCACAACAACCACAACAAGGCGGCGGAGGCATGTATCCAACACCACCACCACCAGTGGCTGCCACCTCTAATTCTAAATACCCGCTTCCACAATATAAGCCAGGAAGCAATACAGGGAATATTGGAATGGCGGGAAGCTATGGACCGTATGCTTCAGCTGCCCCTGCTGGTTACAACCAAGTAATTGATTTAACTTTTACATTATGAAGTGCAGATTATAGTAGGATCATCAATTAACAGTTTTTCTTATCTATTACAAGGTATAACAGAGAATGCAATTTAATCACGACAATGTTAGGCCAGTACAGGTATTCTTGCTTGCCATATGTTGTTTATCCGTAACTCTATGCAGCTAATTTATACCCTTCTTATTTACATGGCAGTTGCAATCTGTGGAAGTGCTCCCTAAAAAGGCTGTTAATATCTTGAAGGAAAATAGGTAGGCCTCAAAGGATAAATTTTTTCTTTATTTTGACAATTCAAAGTTTTTATTTTTCTTTATGTTTCCTGAACATGGTTTTGATTTTGTGATAAATGGATCTTTCGGGGGTTCTTTCTGGATTTACCAAGGAGTCCAACATTGACAAGTTTCTAGGGGTATTTTTGGAATCCCTCGTGGAGTACAGTCATGATGATGATTCGTGCCTTAAAGTGTTGCTTTCCATTATAAAAGTCGTTCCTGTTAATGTTTTAGTTGGTCGTTTAGTTAAAAAAATTCTTTCAACATGCAATTGACAAGTTAATAAATCATATGTATTTCTTGTTAATTTACAGGATTTCTTGAAATACAACGAATCATCTCTAATGAAGCTGCCTTGTAAGATATTTGATCCCATTCCACTTGGTGAAGCTGCTGTTGTTGGGAGGATGAAGGATGCAGATTCAGTAGCAATGCCTGAAGGTTCATCTTTATATGATTTGGTTCAAACGAGAATCACTACCACACATGCTTCTGTTGGAGTGGTGGTTCGCTTGAGGGAAGAGTTGTCTCTTGTAAAAGATAAACCTGCTCATTTTGCAATTGACCAAGTGAGTTGACTTTTTCTCTTTCTCTTTGCAAGTTTCGTACTACTGTTATTTCTAACCATATATATATATATATATATATATATATATATATATATATATATATATATATATAGAGAGAGAGAGAGAGAGAACAAAAGTTCAATGCTATAATTGACAAAAACTTAAAGTACACTGCTATGAAAGGATAATGCTATATTCCGCAAAACATCATTTATTTGTTACTTTTTTTATGTGTGTGCATGTGTGTTGCTGTTTGTGTATAACAGAAAAAAAAACACCTTAACATACACACACGTATTTATAACTCATAAACATTATAAAAAATGACCTTTATAAAAAAGAATTGAAATAGGGATTACCATTGTTGATAGCTTTACGGGTTCTTATGGGTGGTGTTAGATGGAATTGTGATGATATACTCTCTAGTTCATAGGATCAAGAATTATCATTGTTGATAGCTTTACAGGTAATATTTACAATTTGTATGAGGGTATTCTTGTCATTTTGATTGTCATTGTTTAAACACACAACGAAAATTGGAAAGCGAATAAAAATGACAAGTGATTTTGTGTTGTGTTTACAGGGTTGATGAAAGCGAATAGCTCTCGAGTTAGAAGTGGAAAAGAAAGCTCAAGCCGAAAGAGATAAGATGCTGAAAATGCAAGTGTTGTATTCTTCATTTCAATTGTTAGTATGAAACATAGAGTAGATTAGATGAATGCAAATTTATATATTGTAAGAAATAGAATTGTATGACATTAAAGTTTATTCAATGGATTGTATTTTTTTGTATATGGTATTTTATTTCTATTATGACACATTAAATGCAAATTTAATTTAAAAATTAATAAATATATAAATATATATATATTTTTTAAATATTTAAATTTACGATATGCAAAAATGTGTGTCATCTTCATTTATGACATGGCCTTTCTTGACAGGGGCTTTCTTGATACGCATTGCGTGTTATTAATACGCGCGTCGTAAGGTTACGACACGCGAATGCGTGTCGTCTTCCTTTATGACAGGGCCTTCCTTGATACGCATTGCGTGTCGTAAACGCGCATCGTAATTGCACATCGTCTCTTTATGACAGGGCCTTCCTTGACGCGCATTTGCGCGTCGTCTGAGCCTTTTACGACGCGCAATGAGCATCGTAAAAGGCTGTTTTTCTAGTAGTAAAATATTCGTTGGTAATCTCCTCATCAGTGACAGGGTGATACTGACCATTATGATTGAAAGGAGGAGGCACTTTATCGTATCCCAAACCCTTTTTCTGGTTTTGTTTGAATTGCAGGCAATGGTCAATCATGTTGGCAACTACCTCACTTGATACATCATACTTTTTAAAATCAAAATTTGCAATTTCAAATTTGTCTTTTAATGTATCAAGCTCAGTAATTAACTCAACATTTTGTCTCTTGATATAGTCATAGTTTTCACATTTGTTACTATAGTCCTCCTGAAGTTTTCTAAAGCCCTTTATTTTTGTCTCTAACTGGGCCTTTAGGGGTTTTTGTCCTTTTCTAACTTGATATCCTTCATATCTAAGGTCCTCTACTTCTCTGCGTAATGATTCTATTTCCTCATGAAGAAGTTGAACATTATGAGCACATGCCTGAGAACAAGAAGGTAAACTTACCTCACTTTTCTTGGGTTCGGAAGTAGAAGATACCATCAGTGCAAACTGTAGCTCCATCAGCTTTTCTTCAGGATAAGCTGCAACATTCTTCATGGGAGCTTCATCATTCACTTGGGCCAAGTGAGCATTCTCAGGTCTTGAAATGTTCAAAGCCTGAATTTGATCCTCCCAGTCAAATGACTAAGCAACCATGGTCGTCTCATTGTTGACTTGAGCACTTCCCCAATTGTTTCCCACCGTAACTATTGTCCTGTTATTGTTCAATCTTCTATCTGGCTTCAGGTACTCAAGAGAAAAATGTCCTAGCTAGTGACAGTTGAAACAACGCAACTTCCCTTTGTTGAATGCCACCTTTTTATCAGCATTCATACCCCAGTTGTTCTTCCCATTCGTCTTGGCAAACTGCTTAGCCCTGAATACTTCCATTGCTATCTACCATGTGATGTCCATCTCTTCCACATCTTCTGGGTGAATCTGATCTAGATCAGCAAATGACAACTGAGGTGGAACCTCTCCAGCAACAAGAGCATTATAGCAGTTCACTAGTCCTGTGGCAAAGGTAAGATTTCCATCACATTCCTTTGTGTTTGAGGAAGAGGCCACAACTGGTGCATTAGAGGATGGAGCAGCTTGAGGATTGACATGCAACTGGCTTTTAGAGTGAGGCATGGATGACACAATAGTAATGGTTTGGATATGAGGTTGTTGAACAACAATGCTTGACCTGAGGAAGGAATGATTGATGAAATAGCATTGTTAGAGGAAATCATGAGGTTTGCAGTCGAATACGAATTCACATGATTAATCTCCCTTTGTTTATCATCAATATCACAGGCTTTGATGATTGCCATTATTTCAGCAAGAGTGAGACGATTCAAATCCTTGGTTTTCTTAATAACAGCTGCATTCATGTCCCATGACTTTGGAAGAGCATTTAGTACCTTTTTGTTTATCACTAACTTGGTCAAGAAGATCCCATAAATGTTCATCTTAGTAGTGAGAGTGGTGAATCGATGCAGCTGTGTCTCCAGGGTTTCTCCAGGAATGTAGTTGAACATGTTAAACTTTTGACGCAGCATATCCTGGCGGCTTGCCTGCATGTCTTCATTACCTTCGTATACCTCAATAAAAGCTTCCGACAAAGCCTTAGTTGAAGTATATTCTCTGAAACCTTGAGCTATATCAAGAGATAGAGCCATGGTCAGAGTGGCAAATGCCCTTTCCTGATCCTCATCTTTCTCAAAGTCTTCATCTGTATAGTTCTCAACTGCTTTTTCAGTTAGTTGTCCTGCAACAATGGTGGTAATTCGGATAGGACCCTTGATGATGCTTCTCCAAACCTTGAAGTCTTTCATTTTAATATACTTCTCAATCCTGTATTTCCACTTAGGAAAACCATCTGCAAACAGCAGTCTTGGAATGCGTGTAGTTGTGCCCATGATAGAAGCCAACTCATGATGATGTCTTTGGCTTTGAGTATCCATTGATTATTAAGTTTTAAGGCAAAGATTTAAAACAAAATTGTCAAAATTCTATTTCCGGTCAAAGCTTGAGTTTACGGTCAAAGTTGGGTTTGCGGCAAAGATTTAAAACAAAATTGTCAAAATTCTGTTTCCGGTCAAAGCATGAGTTTACGGTCAAAGTTGGATTTGCGGCCGTAAACTCAATTTACGATCTGAGTGTTTACGGTTAACAAAGTTACACTGATTACGGATTTTGAAGATTAGTTTATGGTTATTGAAGATGCACAGTTTACAGTCTTTGAATTGTTCTTGAGTTTACAGCCGTAAGCTTTTGGCAAGAAACTCCTAGAAGTTCACGAAAACACGATTTGAAGAGGATTCCATCCCTTTTAGCAGCGAAAATCCCAAACCCAATCTCGAATAGTGAAGAACACGAGTTTAAACGGCCAAAAACTCGATTGTAAGATGCTTTGATACCGGTCTTTCTCTGATACCAATTGTAATGTCCTGAAACAGATCTTTACCAATGATCAAGCAATCGAACAATCAAATAGAATAAGAATCGGAGTAGAAACAGAATTGAAACAAGCTTGCACACGCTTTTATTGCTGAAAAACATCCGGTACAACCTGTTTACAATAGTCATGAATTCTCTGGTATCAACAACCAATAATGACCTAGACAACCTCTATTTATAGGGGACAAAGATCAGAAACAGGGTTTACGGCCGTAAACTCACCACAAAACCATAAACTCCAATTTAAACCACTATTACACCAAAAATATTCAAAAGAATTATTACAACTGAAAGCCTAGACCAAACCACTAATTGAGCCTTTCAAAATTTCAAAAATTAAACTTTTAATCAAAAATTTAAATTCCAAAACTTGAGGCCAAGTTTTGAAACATTTCAAAACATTACGGTTTAGAATTTAAATATTTCAAAATTAAACTTTTAATCAAAAATTTTAAATTCCAAAACTTAAGGGCAAGTTTGAACCTTTTCATAACTATCTAGATCAAATTACAACTAACTAAAATTAATCAAATAATTTGTAATTATCTAAATTTGACCTAATTCAATTTCTTACTAGATAATTCAAAACAAAATTACAAATAATTAATATTTATCTTATAAAACAAGTAACTATCTTAAATTTGACAGTTATCTTCTATTTTGGTGAGGATAATCACCAAATATTGATAAAATTCAGATTTTATTAATGAAAAATGTTTTTGGTAATTATCCTACAATAGAATAGGTCAAAATCCCAAAATATCCTTTGTCTGACCCCGTGGCTCACCGAGTCAAGGGCTGGACTCACCGAGTCAGCATGACTTGCCGAGTTCATCAACTGACTCGCCGAGTCAGTCAGGCAGAGGGCCAAAAACTTCTATTTTCAGGCAATGAATGATTAAACAAGCACCAAATACATCAAACAAGCAGCCCAGGCTCTGATACCATTGATGGGTTTTAAGCACTACATCATTACTATGGTGTACATCCAAACCCTAAAGCTCTCGATCTAGTTTGTCTAATGAACATGAAATAATCATCCAAAGCCATAAACCCTAGATCTAGCATACAATAATCAATATTATCATAATATAGGGTTTAGATCTTACCTTTGATTGTTATGTATTAATAACAATATATTCCTTCTTGTAATTGGCTTATGAAAGCTTAGTGTCACAAGTGTCACACCTCTAATGGCTCACAAACACCAATAGCAGGAGGATGACTTAGGAGAGGAGAAGGAGGCACCAAAAATGTCCTAGAAACTCCAAGGAATGCTTAGCCACATTTTTGGGTGCCCTAGGCGTCTTTATATAGTAAGGCTATTAGGATTTTGAACTCGAAAACCCTAATCTGACTGCTTAGGCCCTAAGCAGCCCATGAACTCCCTCCTTGGATGCCTTGGATGAATTCTCATGGGTTTCCCCATAGATTTCATCCACTCCAACCTCTATAGAGTCCATTAGCCCAATATCCAACTATCACACAATTGACAGTTCTAGATCTGTTTATTTAATTAATGTCTTTTAGCCACAAAATTAATTCTTATTAATTCTTGACTAATATTAATTAAACAATATGATTTCTATTTTAATATATTATTCATATAATATATTAATAAATCATAATTAATCTCTTTTTTTCACAAATCATCCTATCAAGTTGCTTTGGTGAAGGCAACCCAAAAGGACCATGCTTACAATTAGGTCAAGTACATACCAAAATAGTTATGGACTTAGACATTAATCAAGCACTAGATTCATCTTCAATTTTGTCTCATCCCACCTGCGATTTTGCTTTTTTTTTCTTCCTTTTTTTTGTTTTTTTTAATGTTTTGACTATGAAATTGATAGGATTTAACTGCGAAACAACCTTATTATAGATAAAGTTTTGCAAAAAATTATCAGTTTAGTTGTAATTTCTTTGGAAATTTTTTTTTAAAACATCTCAAATAAAATGAATTCTCCAACAAAAAAATTGAAAAATGTTTGAAAAATGAAATCATCCATAGTGCCTCTAGAGAGAAAGTTTTCCAAAAAAAAAGTTTGAAAAATGAAAGGAAAAAACATTACGTTTTTATACACCTAAAAAAGGGAAAATCACATATGGACGCAAAGTTAGTCCATCTGCAAATGTACAAGTTGCTAAAACAAAAATGTGCTTTGGCGACTTGTATGTTCGCAGGTGGACAAGTGAAATTGCCAATGGACTGAGTCCATCTGTGAGTTTGGTGGCTATTTTTGTAATTTTGATTTTTTTTTTTTTTTTGGCTATTTTCCACAAAGTAATTAAGAGATTAGGTTATATTTCTAATTTTCTCTTTATTAATAATCTATGATCCCCGATTAATCCACGTCAATATCGATTAATCCCTTAACATCAGCCGACCGTGTCGAGTGATTTTTACAACCTTTGTCCTAGAGAACGATTAAGAATGATGTTAAACTTAATGTTTCCTCCACGAACCACACACCATCCATGTATGTCTGATGTTTCATCCATATATATCCATCCATCATTTCTCTTACAATTATTTCCTTATCGTCAACCATGATATTGTCCTTCATTTTTAATTAATAAACCCAAGGTCTAAATGAAATCATATGAAATGCCTATCCATTTTAGTAAACATCAATTCATATATAATAGAATTAATTTCATCTATTTATAATATGTAATAGATTTCCCACGCATATGCTCACGATTTAAAGTTCGAGGATGATTATCTCAAAATATTATTAAAAGAGGAAGTTAAATTCTAATTTTAAAAAATCAGAACCATTCATAACATTTATATCCTTAATTTTTCTCCCTCGGATTATTTGGTGACATCATCCTTTACCAAGGGTTATTCAAACTCCGTTACACCCTTCTTTTTTCTTTCCTTCGTCATCTACCCTCTCTCTCAATTGTAACCTAAAGAAACATAAAAAACCATTCCTTTTTACTATAATCATGCAAGAAAACATATCCCTAATTTGCATCTATCTCGCCTCTTCAAACGCCTCCAGGAATATGGTTAGTTCGTATTAATTTTACTCCCAAATTCAAAATTTCTTATCTTTCAATAGTGCATTTGTGTAATCGCTTCTATTCTTCATCATTTTGTTTTTTTGTTATCCTTGTCAATATCAATTTCATTGTTACAATTCCTTATCCGATTTTCCCCTTTTACTGATCTCTTCTTTCTTTCTTCTAGGAAATTTTTGATGATGTTGGCCAAATCGAGAGTTTCGGGTTATCAATACTTCTATGCAATGATGAATTTGCGATATAAGCAAGTCATAGATCAAGATGATGGAGACACGACTTAATTTGATAATGACAAAGAGGAATGCAATGCAAAAGTAATTGAGGAACGGTGTTGCTGAAATTTTTAAGAACGACCTTGATTCCAATGCCTACAAAAAGGTAATTATTTCTTTAACTTTCTTATTCTTTTCACGGTCTTCTTGTGCTGTTTTTTGGGTTAAAAAGAATGTTTTTGAGTTCTCCTGGATTTCTTCATTATGCTTACTAATGTAAGTTTCCAACTTCGATGGCAGTATTGTAAATTATTCCTTAAAACGTATGTTGATAGTAATTTTGATATTATTTGTTTTTGTTGTAGGGTCCACATCGTGCATGTTAAGGACCGATGCATGTTGACGTTGCCCATGATAGAATGGTTGTTCAGATATTACTTATCACTAACGACCTTTTCAGGTTTTTAATTTTTATAAATAGACGATTCTTGTTTTAATGGTCATTTTGTCGATGGACCAAAATTGAAGAAAAAAGTTTATACTGGGACCAAATACGTAGTTTGCTCCTTTTTTATATAATTAAGGTTTATAGTAATTGAAATATACTATTTTGTTAAAAATACAAGATCAGAAGAATGTATACAATACACTGATACAAATATAAATCACACTTTTCCACAGTATTAAGTGTACTATTTTTTCAGCTTTGGTCCAAGGGCAATATAGGCATTTAGACAAACAGCTAGACTATTAACTTAGATGACTGAAGAACCAAAAGTGAAAGAAAACCCTAAAATAATGACGAAAATTACAACAAAAATCTTTTAGCGACCAAAACCGAAAAATTCAGCTAAACTTAGAGATCAAAATTGTAATTTAGTCAAAAACTTATCAAAACAATCCTACTTGTAAGTGTTTGGTTCATTGTAATTCTTCTTTATTCAATGTTCATTGAAAGTTTCATATTTTAAAATTTAAAACGTTTATTATAATCAATGTTTTATTATATGTAAGGTTTCTGGGGAGCCTATGTACTTCTTTAACCAATTTATTCTTTTATCCTATTTAACAATGTGTATTTAATTTTTTTTTATTGAGTAAATTACATTGTTGGTCCCTGAGAACTTCGTATAATTTCATTTCATAGAGTAAGTATATTCATATGTACATGCCTTCACTTTTATTCAACATAGTTAATCGAAAGAGACCATTGTCCTTATAGTTTAAAAATTCTATAAAGAATTGAGTTGCCGGTAAGTTGGTATCTTGTAATAATATCTTCTGAATTATTTCCGAATATTTCAAAATGCTTCTCCGAAGGTTTGATTGTTATTTCTATTTTACTTTTGCACTCAAGATTCAACCATCATTACATAGTTTGTTATCACATTTTGTCTATTATAGACTATAGACCCCTAATGTTTAGAAGAGTGAGATTTTTATTATGTAATTTGCTCCCCACAAAAGAAAAAAGAAACAAATAAAAAAATTTAGTTTAACAAACAGAAGTTATGCCGCTTGTTCTTCTTCCAAGAGTCCAATAGCAGGAAGTTTTATTTTACACATAGTTTAAGAGTAACCTTTAATTTGGTTTTCTCCTACTAAAACTCATACATCTACAGAGGTTAACTGCAAAACCCTAAAACACTGGTTAGTAAGACAATGTAGGGAACTTATTATGGACCTCAATCAATTTCACTTGAATATTGTAAGGGTTGCCGATGGGCAAATAGATAAACATGGATTCGAATGTTTTTCAAAAATGGAATTGTTTTATTATTGTGAGATGTGACATAAATTTATGATTCGGAACAAACGAATTGGATTATTTGGATCTGCATTTGGTCACATCGAGGTTCATGTGGATGATCCTTTGGGAGAGTGAAGGCGAATTGCATGCCAAAAGTGCAACCGTTTTCATATGTGGTTTTACACCAGAAAGACCAAATCTACAGCTAGATCCTGCTTGGTATCATTTTATTATTCTCACCACAAAAGTAATAATAAACCCTTTAGATAAACCATTAAGGGCTAAATGCATAATATAGCAATTTACTTTCTATTTTTTTCCTTTCTCATAACATCGTGTTTTTTTTCTTATTATAGCATTGTACTTTTTAAAACTAACCCATTTATAGCAATGGATAACCACTTACATGTACGTGCCATTCCATTATTTGTTTCGATGACATGACACATTTAAGGATGATATGGTTGATAGACATCCTAAGAGGACAAGGACATTACATAAGAACCTATCACCTTATGTCATGTCATTATGCTTCAAATTAGCAGGTTCCTCATTGATATAACTGGTATTTTTTTATGTGTTTTTTTTGCTTATTCATAGATGTAAATTTATAGCATGTGCTAGTGACATACCTCTTAAGTTTACAACATTCCAAAAGTTAGCACAAACTTTATTTTTAGTTATATTTCACAAGTTAATACCTTTGGGATCACTTATGTTTTAATTTGACCTTTTGCTTTTGCAATACAATAATGTTATTGAGAAAATGATGAAGGTAGGAGAGATATTTTTTTATTTTTTTATTTTTTACTATTGTGGCGTTTTATAACTGTGGATGGCTTCCAAGGGAGAGAAAAATAAGCGATTATTATTTCAATGGTCAGGTCAAATTCAAAAAAAGAGGTATTTTTTATTTTTAATTTTTTTTATTCCTATGCCGTTTTATAATTGATTTAAAAATCAATGAAAATGTTGACATTTGTTTTAAAATTCAATTAACTCTTCTGTTTTTTCAAACAGACCAAAATATCCTTATCATGTATTCTTAAATAAGACACTAGGTTATTAATTTTATTAATTTTTTATTAATTTGTTCTGTATTTTCATATTTATTGAAATAGTATATGTTTATTATATTTGTTTCTTATCCGACTTCTTGATATCTTATTTGGTAATTATTATGTTAAATTACGTATGATTTTATCTATTTTTGTAATTATATTTACTAAGTTATATTAATCTTATTTTTGGATATCCTATCATACTTAAGACATATTTTAAGTATGGAAATGATATTACATTCCAAAATCTTTATATTATTCCCAGCATTAACCAATTTTATACTTCCTTATAAATATAGGGTCTACGATTTTTCATTCTAAATCAGTTTTCTCTCTAACTAATACCTCATTTCATTGCAGATAATAGAATTGTGTGGCAACTAACAATGCGGATTGAGTCGTGTTTGATAAAGTTGCTGAAATCGAAGCATCTAAAGATTCTTGGAACATACGTGTTAAAGTCGTCTTGTTTTTTAAGCAGACCTATAAAAACAATCCTAAAATGGTCGGGAGCCTAGACATGATTTTAATTGACCAATAGGTATTGTATTAAAAATAACAACCAACTTTACTCTATGTAAAAATGTACGAAGTAATGTACCTCACATCATACGTAGAATAAATAAAAAAACACAATTGTTATTTTATCAAAAAGACTTATTTTGTGATACTTTTTCTTTAAATTTTATTTTTGTTTTATTAAATTTTAATAAACATATTTAGTTTTATGTAACATACACGTTTTGAAATCCTGTTTTGTAATGAATAAAATTGTGAAATACTATGTGAAATTGAGTGTTGAGTTCTAACAGATGGGTTTTACTATAAATAAAGTAAAACTATGTTTATTATCACTCACAAAATATTGGAAGTCTTATGAAATTCCAATTAAAAGCCAAATAGTGAAATTTATCGAAAATATAAAATTTTAAATAAGTAAAGTTTTATTATTTGATGTTGTAGAGAATCTCCTTATAAACTTGTAGGCGAAAACCTCATCGAAATCCGAGTTATAACGAAGAAGTTACGACCAACCGAAGATCCGCGACAAAACTAGCACAGCGCTCAATGACGTAAAAAGTGATTTTTTGATAAACTACTTTTTAGCCTTAGTAATCTAAATAAAAGTCGTAGTATTCGTTAAACCGAGAAATTTGATAAAAAGAACGCCAAAATCTGACTTCGTATGAAGAAGTTATGATTTTTCGAAGTTTCAACTTAGCAGTAGACAGCGAAAAACTCGAATTTTAGATCGAGCGATATTTAACCGATACATCCTAAACGAGAATCGAAGGTCTCGTCATTTATAGTACAACGGTAAAAAGTCTGACGAAAACGGATGTCGGATGGAGAGTTATGAATTTTTAACGGATTTTCCTGCCCCGGTCTGTTAAAAATAATAATATTAAAAATAAATTCAAAATTAGCCGACAAAGTCTACATGAAAGTTGTAGAGCGTAATTTTAGCTACGCGTGCATATAAAGAACGTCAAAAACGGAGCTCGTATGCGAAAGTTATGAATTTTAGAAGTTCGGGGCCCGAAAACCGAGAAATCTCGCATGAATAGTACCGGCCACGTCACCTCGCACGGAGCAGGTGCGTCACCGAAGACGTGGCCAAGCTTGAGAAGTGACGCTTGCCCAATCCGAAGCAGCCATGAGCCCCTGACATGTCCTTCGCATCGCTTCCACGTCCGAGCTTCGCAGTAGGCCTCGTGGCCTTCGCTTCTCGCGCCACCTGCCCTTTGATGCTGATGCCACCGAGCAGCTTCGTCACCCTCCTCCAGACCGAACCTCGTAGGCACGATGTGGACACCTCCCAGCCACTAAGTCCGAGCCCTCTCACCCTATATAAAGGGAGGCTGCGAGCCTTCCCGGGTAACTTTGAAAAATTGACACTTTTTCACCCTAATTTCATATATTAACTATTTTGACTTTCCCCGAAGCCCTGATATCAATTTTAGCACCCAAAACACGTCCCGATGTAACACTGTAAATTTCAAAACAATTTTTCATTTAAATATAATGGTTTAATTCTTAAAAAAACTTTTCTTAAAATCTTATTCATGATCAAATGACAAAACATAACTCCATTTTCACTTGCATAATAAACCAGGATCCTCGAAATATAACTCCTTCGCTGGTGTGTACAATCAAGCCAGTGCCGTCCCGTAATCCTGTGAGAAACCTGAAACACATAACACAAAACACTGTAAGCACAAAGCTTAGTGGGTTCCCCAAAATACCACATATAACACATATTAGCCACTCGAGGCTATAACTCTGTGGGTCCGTGCACCCAAACTTTGTGAACCCTCAGGTTCTAACTCTGGGAACCTTCCGGTTCTAACTCTGTAAACATGCACAACATAAATCACATATAAATAATGCAGTACAACACATAACATACATAGCATACAAATACTCTATCACATAACTCTGGTTACCTACTCAAGGTAAAGTATAGTGAGAAGACTCACCTGGCAAGCAGGAAGCAGATATCCTCACGCTTGTATCCCGAACTCGCCACCATCTATCACAGAAGGCAAATGCTCTCATGAACATAACTCTCGAGACTAGACTCTATCCTCTCTTGGAATCCTCTCAAGGGTAAAAGACCATTTTACCCCCTTCTTGGCCCAAAGGCCACATTGTTGACCAACCCTAAAAGTCAACAAAAGTCAACAGTCAAACTTTGACCTAACTCGCCGAGTGCACTCCGGTGACTTGGCGAGTACACACATGTCCACTAACTCTTTGGGATCCTCTCTCGGCACGTCGAGTGCTCTCCTAACTCGACGAGTTCCACCTGGCATGAGTTGTGGGGCCTCCACGACTCAACTCGTCGAGTCCCAAGAACAACTCGGTGAGTCCCAGCTTGACTCAATCCACCTGTCAACCCACTCTGACTCTCCTTGACTCACTGAGTCAATCCCTCAACTCGGCAAGACCACTCGCTGAGTGGTGCTGGGCAATCTTCATGCTACTCGCCGAGTCTGTTCTTCGGACTCAGCGAGTCCATGCCATGCAACGACTCAAACTCACTCCTGAGGTCAGATCTGTTCCACTACTCATAGATCCAGTCCTTCCAAGCTTATTTATCACGTAAAGTCGCTATCTTGATGTACATACAACATCTATATGACCATATATGATGATTTAGCCCCAAATACCACAACTCAAGGTCATAACCTCCATTGCTCTTCATAAAGCTTGATGAGTGAGGCTCTTTGGACCTCTATGGATCCAGATCCAAAGTCTCATCACTAGAAAGGGGCTATTTGGGCATCAAATCAACCCAACAAAGGCCACAAGAAACCCTAAATCCAAATATACTTCATAAAACAGAAGATGAGCTGAATTAATACCTCAAGTGCGATGATCTAAGCTTCAAATCCACAGTATAGCAACCTCCTTTGCTTCCTCTTGGTTAGGACCTCCTTCTTCTTGCTAAACAACACCACAAGGGTCAAGAATAGCTTCCTTTCTCTCTCAAAACGCTCAAGCACTCTAGGGTTTCTCTCTATGGATTGGTGAGCACAAATGACGGCCATAAGGCCCTTTAAATAGGTCTCAAACCATGGGAATTAGGGTTTCATTACACAGCGTGGACTCGCCGAGTCCACTCTTGGACTCGTCGAGTCCAGACGCCAACCCGTGTCCAAAATCGCAATCCTACTCGGCGAGTTTGAGCTCCAACTCGCTGAGTCCACTCACAATTCTCCAAAAATACACCAATAATAATATACCTGGAAATTCCGGGCTGTTACAATTCTCCCCCACTAGAACTAGACTTCACCCTCGAAGTCTCGCTCTGAAAATAACTCCGGATGCTGCTCGCGCATCTCACGCTCCGGTTCCCAAGTCATCTCGGACCCCTTTCGATGCTACCACCGAACCAAAACCAAAGGTACCTCCTTGTTCCTCAGAACTTTGATTTTCCGATCTCTGATTGCCACTGGTCTCTCAGCATAATTCAAGCTCGCATCCACCTGAATATCCTCTAACGGAACCACTGCCGACTCATCGGCTATACACTTCCGCAATTGCGCCCATGGGAAGTGTCGTGAATCTGTCCCAACACTGCTAGCAATTCCAATCGATAGGCTACCCTGCCTACCATCGTGATCACCTGAAATGGACCAATTTATCGGGGCCCCAACTTGCCCCTCTTCCTGAATCGAATCACTCCTTTCCACGGAGAGACCTTCAGAAGCACAAAGTCGCCGACCTGAAACTCAAGCTCAGACTGGCGTCTGTCCGCATAACTCTTCTGTCGACTCTGAGCGGTCAATAACCTCTGTCTGACCTGCTGGATCTGCTCTGTCGTCTGAAGCACGATCTCTGTACTTTCCATCACACGTTACCCTACCTCTCCCTAGCAAATGGGGTCCGATACCTCCTTCCCTACAACAGCACAAAGGGTGGCATACCGATGCACTAATGATGGCTGTTGTTGTAGGAAAACTCTTCCAAGAGCAATTACAGGCCACAACCCCCCCCCCCCCCCCCGAAATTTAATACACATGCCTGAACCATATCCTCGAGCGTCTGAATCGTTCGCTCATTTTGAAGTGTCCACAGACATCACCTATGGAAAACCCTAGCTCATTCCTCATATTCATCTTCGATACTGATCACCAGGTCAGTTGTTGGCCTCACAGCTGAACCCCCAAGGGTCACACATAACATGATCCGAAATATCTCACTAACTTCCTCTCTGTGACTACTATCACGGCCCAGCAACACGCAAGTCACGAAATTCCCTTTTTCTCATAAAAGTATAATCCAACTGAAGATCTCCTCAGCTCTAACCTCTGGCGTCTGATGAGCATATTCTCCCACGCGCCTTGCTGACCCTTCCCGGCAGAGACGGAGACCCCAGTCTCGCCCCGGTTTAACCACTGGCTCCATAAACTCAACACTAGGGCTACTCAAGCCTAAAACTTTTCTGCATCATGCACTCATTGGAGAACACTCCATCATCATAATCTCTATCCAACTAGTGGGCACTTATGGCTTCCCGCAACATTACAACAGTCTTTGACAAGTGATAATACGGCTCCCCGTAGTATCACACGCCAACTAACTAGTGAGTACTACGGCTCCCCGTAGTACCACGACTCCTTCCTTCTGACTTGTGAGTACTGCGGCTCCCCGTAGCATCACAACACGCTCTGACTGGTGAATACTACGGCTCCTCGTAGCATCACTACTCTCTCTCTCTCTCTCTCTCTCTCTCTGATGTGTGAGTGCTACGGCTCCCCATAGCATCACAACTTCCTCTGACTGGTGAATACTACAGCTCCCCATAGCTTCACCCTATACTCTCATTCTCATTACAATGCTACACTAAGCTCACTACTCCTGCACTGAAGACTATCATAGGTAGTTACACACACACTTGCCCTGATATGCATTACAGACTCTGGCAGCAACCGCCATAACACAGAACCTGCCTCTGTGGAGATCCACTTCCTTAAATAGTCCCTCTTGATGACAATACACGAAGGGCTCC